TACATTGCTGTTTTTCCAAACCCGCAGCTTTGAACTCAAGCTAAAAATTATCATGGAGACTTTTCCATCTCATTTCAACCACATTCTGACTTTTTCGAAAAAAAGAGCGTCTCTTCGGGAGACATTTTCGACTTCAGTGAGCGGCTTCGATCACTGGTAGAGAGGATAAGAAAACAAAACGCGGAATGAACAAGAGGAAAATAGAGGAGAAAAAAACGAATATATCTTTGTCTACAGAAGAGAAATACTGGCGAGGAAAACGAAGCGAAGTTCTGAGCGTAGTTAAAACTGGGCAGACAAACCAACGCGGATAATGAGCTTCTATATCAGTCCTATTGGTCGAGCGAGCGCGAGACGGGATTTATGGTGAATCGGTGAGCGGACATTGATCAGTGAGCGTTGTCCAAGAGGAGGAGAGAAGGAAAACGTGAGGGGGGGGGCGAAAAAAGAAGAGAATAAAAATAAAACAATGTTCAATCACACGTTGAGTTATATTTAAATACTAGTGTGAGGCATATTAAATCACCGACGATCGAATATGAGAACCGTAGGTGGCATTTCGGATGGTCTTGGTCAACCTATTAAAATTACGGAGTCGTTTAACTCTCGCTCGGGCCACGGTGAGTCAACCTAACCCGGACGCGAATCACCAAAAGCGCCTAACTGCACATTGAGATGAGCCTCGTCGCCCGTTATATTCCATACTCTTCAGGGCTCATGTAGAGTCCGGTTGCGTTCTTTTGTCAGCCCGGCGAAGAGATGGGCAGTTATGAATAATTGCTCGTCTCGCGAGTAGGACAGAGGCATCGGGCATCAGGGTGCGTTTTTCTCCTCTGGAAAAAGGGTTAGAATAGCCCCGACCCCCCTCTAAGAGGCGACCACGACTTACATCTAATTAATTGCTATTCAATACTGTTTTCCTCCGCATATGAAACAAAATGTTCATACGGTAACTAATTTTTGGGGTACACGGCTGCATGGGGGGTGCCCCGTGTTATTTTTTCAGTTTTTGACAATCGGGCTACGCTACGATTAATAGTTTCCAGTGCACCGATGCATTTAAATCGAGAGAAGGGTATACGACCGTATAAACGTATCGAGTTTGACGCGGGAGTGAAAATTTGTTTCGGTTTCTTAAGCCAGCGAGGGGTAAATTTGAGAGGGAAACGATTTGAGGCCGGTTTCCATTATTTTAATTATTGTGTAGTTGAGGAATTGACCGAATCTGCTCATTATTTCGTTTTACAACTGCAGCGGGGTGCAATGGTGCATTATTCATAAATATTTAAATTTTAGATAGTCCGTCATTCGAGTCCGTCTCGTGTTCGTTACAGATCCTCAGAAAAAAGATATACCGTCAGAGAGTATTTTTGGAATGCATACGGATTCATAGAGTGGAAATTCCGTTAGTCGTCAGTTTCAATATGCGTTTAGACAGAACGTTGAAATGTATTTTAAAACGTAGGACGATCCAAAAAAACAGCGTCCAATGGTTTTTAAAAATACATGTATCGATCCAAAATTGTATACAATAAATTCTATAGTAACATCTTGATTTAAATTTTGAGGGTTTTTAAGGTCCACGTCGATGAAAACGCAATGTATAATCCGAGTCTTTGATTAGTCGAAAATCCTCCAAAATATGTAGACTTAATAACAATCGCTTGGACAGACAATATTCAACCATCGTATGTGATGGAATCACTTTCGGAAAATTTTGAATGTGATGATGGTCAAAGACCTCTTCATGCTTCTATCAAAATAGTAGAGTTCAGGATTGAGAAAATGTAGAACATTTGACTGATGGAAACGTAGAACTAACTAAAATATTGTACTATCTTCTAATAAATCAGCCTGAATTTCAGGTAGCTACTTAAACACACAGATTGTATAGCTTCCATCACCAGACTCCTAGGAATTTTCGGTGGTTACCTTGTGCTGTAAATTTTTGACATGAAGTTGGAAGTATCAAAGCCGGTGTTGCTAAAAAAAATAAGAAGAAAGTACTACCAGCATGATTGAGCATGGTTTTGCAGCGATGTTTTGCTCCTAAACACAATCTGCAACATCGCCCTACCAACACTTTAGTGATAATTTTACAGCTCATAAGCCATAAAAACGCAGGCAGTTGGGTTTAACAATTTCTAAGAGTTAGCTTTAAAATTGATATCATTTTTCCCCCTTGTAATTCCGTTAACCTTGGTAGATCAGGAGGGGGAAAATCTATGTTATTTATGATAATATAAAAAAATCTCTCCATCCGAAAACGACTTATCGCGAAAGAACGAAATTTTTCAGGAGACAATAAAGACTGCGCAACAGCCAGAGAAGGAGTGTTTCTACACAAAAAAATGAAGATTCAAAACTTCCAGCAGAGAATAAGGACTCACGAGTCGACTGAAAGTCTGGCGTAAAACATTTGTTTACTCAAGTCAATCTCTATATCGACGGTGAAACTACCAAACCACGTATCTCGGTTTGCGACGTCGCAGACTTCCTGTCATACTTTATTTTTTAAATGAAAAACTACTTAATGTCCAGTCTTGAAAATTTCTGTGATTTTTCCTCTTTGTGCGGAGAAAATTCCGTGAAAATTTCAAGGAATGATATTGATTTGGTCTACTTCAAAAAAATAAAATGTGAGCGTAGATTTTTAAACACCGCAAACGAGATACGTGGTTTGGTAGTTTCACCGTCGATATGCAGAAAATTTTGACATTTTTGTAATTTTCCTCACGAAAGGACGTAACTACATTTCAATGTTGCCGAACTTCCCCTCGCGCATTGCACCTTTGATCAGATAATTTTAGGCATTTCTAACTGAGAAGTTCACCGATTTTTCCTCTGATCTCATGCAAAAATGATAAAAAAAAGTTTGGGAAAATTGCATGGATGTACTTTCGTTAAAAAATTAAAATTTTTGAGTCAATTTTGCAATTTTGGAATAGAGTTACGTTCTTTCGTCAAGGAAACGACGATATAGCTTGCAAAATGAAGGCACAGCTTTTGAAATTGCCAAAGTTAGTTTCTATGTTTTGCCCCAAATTCTTGTCAGAGGCATAAATCAATGGGAAAAGAGTCCGAGGGTTGCTGCGTTGCTTACTAAGAAATGTCTATCCTGAAAAATGATTTCTGCGACCCTTCGAAGTGTGAACTTCTTCAGGGAGAAATTAAACCTCCGTTAGACAAACCGACAAGTTCAGTGGGCATTTCTCGGGTCAAAGGGTTGAGACGTGCTAACCTATCCAATCGACTGAACTGAATTTCGGTTTGATGAACCGAATCGAATATAGGTTTAATAAACTGAACCTTATTCCGGCTTGATGAACAGAACCAAGAAACTAATAAAATTAAGTTTTTCGATTCGCTGAATTGAGCTAGCCAATGGTGTGGCGTGCTTTGCGATGAATCGATTGATCCGCCATTCAAACCTATGATAAAGAATCGATTATCAGAGTGTTCGAAACAAAAACCATACAAACGATTTTTTACCATAGCTTCAAATGGGAAAATTTCGATAGTCGAAGATTCAAACCTCGCCACTAAACTGAGCTTTCACAGAGGGAACATTTAGTGTTCAATAATAATCTTGATTTTAGAGTTCAACAAGTTTTTGAAAACATTCATTTGATAACCTTTAAGAAATAGAGGAAAAAGTTTATCGTATGAACGGACCTTTTAAAAAAGAGCCTTCGGACGATGCGAGGCTTTACATCAACTTTTACATGTTCTTCTTCTGCATAGAAACCATGCCTTTGAAGAATGAAGTAATCAATGTTTTTGTTATAACACGATAATACATTTTTAACGATAATGCACATTTGATGCATAATGTATACATTATGCATCAAATTTTTATAAGTCTTCAATTCTAGCGCGTGAATACAGTGATGAAAAAGTACTTTTAAGCAACAGGAAAGGTTCGCGAGGTGTCTGTGTTCCTCTAATTTCATCTACTCGTTTGTAATGACCTACTTTTGGAGAGTGACTTTCTAAACTTTTCTTGGCATTAAAATAGTCATAAAGTCTAATCAAAGAAAAAAAGTATTAAATTTAAATTACCCTAAATTTTGGCAAACATGTGAATGAAATGCTATTGAAACGAGAGTAAATTCAATATTACCTCATTTTTGGTCCAAGTTTGATGATATTTTAAAATTTTCGATATAAAATTTATGAATGCAAACATTTCTTTCGCACAGGGATGAAATAATTTTAAAATTAGATACACGAGAATTGGAAAAGTAAAGTTGATATGTGATGGTTATTTGAGGACAGGAATCGAAAAAATGCATATAAAAGCATAAATGTTAAACTCTAGCAAAGATGTATTGAATTATTTACAAAACATGTATTGTAATAAAAAAACTTGACGATATTGGATGCTACGAAAAAATAAGATTCTTAAGTCATTTGAAAAATTCATTGAATACTATGATTAAAAATTTCACGTCATGCTTAGCGTGAGGGTCCCGGCGGTGCATCCCCACCGAAGACGATATTTCGAAGTTTGTCGTCCCTACGCTCCTGTAAAAGCAAATCTTGTTTTCGAAATTTCAAAAATTTTACTCGATAAATCAAAATAATGTATGTGCTTTCGAAGGTACTTTTTATACAATATAACCACTTAAACTTGCAAGAATATAAAGTCGGCCCAGAGGAAATAGAATTTTGATATTTTATTTTCATTTTTTTTTCTTCAAAAAATTAAGAAGTGATACATTCTTGGAAGATTGATGAAGCAAGAGGGCGTAAGTCTACATTTCAGAGTTGTAAAAACAAGAGTAAAAAAAGAACAAAAAAAACCTTGCCTTAGAATGAATGAATGAATCTATTTATTTTTATTGATTAGTACAACGATGTATGAGATTAGTTGGTAAATTTCCGTTGTTGTTCGTATTTTATTGCTTTAATATCTACTAACATGCTGTATTGTTTAAAGAAAAAATTAAAATTTGAAGAAAGTACCCAGTGATTAAAATAGTGAAGCTATATTCCTATTCGCCAGAACGTAAAAAAAATATCACTATAAAAAACAAGGGAAGATTATTCAAAAAAGCGTTCTTCAAATATTACATAAATTCGGATTTATTTTATGCATCATTGACCGAGAGGAGCAGCGAAAGTTACGTTTCTAATATAGGGGCTCTTCGGTCTGTTTTGAAGAAGGATAAAGAAAATAAAAGGAAACATTTCCGAGGAGAATCGTTATCAGATCACGTGACAAATTCGTGTATCTTCAAAAGGAAGGAGCAAAAACACGAGATCACAAGAGAGAGTCCAACAAGAGTAACTTTTACAGAAGCCACCGCAAGAGCTAATATGCAACTTGGTCTCGAAATTCCCGCCCCGCAAGCACGGCAAAAGCATACTTTTGTTGACGCGAGCACCATCTCTCGGCCGCGGATAGAACAGGGTGGAAAAAGACATATTACTAACAAGTATAAAAACAGAGCTCTCATAAACGAAAGAAAATATCATCTTAACAGCAAAAAGTAATAAGAAAATAATGGAGGGAAACGGCTATAAATCAAAGCGGCAAGGAGCGCACGCTGCCCGCCCTTCGGGGGCCGGGATTGGCTGCCGCGGCGGGGCCGGAACCAATCGCATCGCGCCCTCGCTCGGGGGGCCTCATTGAGATCGCCGGTCTCTCCCTCCCCAGCCGTAAACAGAACGCCTCCATAAAGATACCTCGTAGGGCTCGCGCGGCTGGATATTCAGTCCTGCTGTGTGGATGCACTGAGTCGGTTTATTCGAGTGTATTTTCGTTTTTTTTTGTTTTTGTTTTTTTTTAGTTCTTATTTTTAGTTTTCCGTTTTTATTTCCCCCCCGGCCCCGACCTTTAGTTTCTTTTACGTCCACCCCGGCAAGAAAATCGTGTTTTCGTTTGTTTCGGAATTTTCTCGTTTTTCGAACCAATCGCGACGCGCGCGGGTCAACCGTGATAACAGCTGTTATCAAACTTTATCGGCGGCGCTCACATGGATTTGTTTACATCGGGAACGCCGCGCTTTCGTGAAGTGTCTCCGGGTCGCAGCCAGCTGTGACCGGAAAATGTGCGTTTGTGAAAACGAGTGCATCGCAGGAAACTTAGGCAGCTCCTCGGAAAATCTCCTCTTCATCAAGTGTGCCAAGTGATATCCAGGAATGTAGAAGTGCGTCTATAATGAAAAAAATCAAAGTGATCCCACGTACTTTCGAGTGTTTTTCATCGTGAGGAATCCCTTGCGAGTCTCATCACCGTGCGCGAATACACCCGACCAGAAATGATAAATGCTTTTATGGAACCCCCTCACCATCACAGCACGCTAGCCAGCATGGGTATCAAAATGTCTCCGACCCATCAAACCGACCTGAGTGGAGCAGGTGGCAATATGCAGAACACGGGTGCAATGCTAGGCAATACTATCTTAGACTCTAGTGGCGTGGACGGGCAACAACACCACTTCCACCAGAACTCCGGCTGGCCGAGCGCCCCCAACCACCACCACATGCACCATAGTTCTTATGCTGCCCGGGATTTCATCCTCAGGAGCAGGGACTCTGTAAATAACAGCGAATACTCGCCTAACCCTTCGATAAATAGCAACAACGACTTCTTGTCCAGTTTGCACCACCATCATCACCACGACCCTCTGACGGTGCCGTCGCACCATCAGATGCTGTACTCGAGGCCGGACGCCACGACCGGAGGTTACGGGCAGGAGCCGATGGTGCCGTACAACCCGATGTCTTCGCCGCACCATGGGGCGTTTTTTCGCTACATGCGGCAACCCATCAAGACGGAGATGACCTGTCTGTGGGTCGACACCCCCGGCCCGCGGAAAATCTGCGGCAAGTGTTTTACCTCGATGCACGAAATTGTGACGCATCTGACTGTCGAGCATGTCGGCGGGCCCGAGTGCACGACGCATGCCTGTTTCTGGCAGGGCTGCCCCCGCAACGGCAGACCCTTCAAAGCCAAATACAAATTAGTCAATCATATCCGCGTTCATACCGGGGAGAAGCCTTTTCCCTGCCCGTTCCCATCGTGCGGCAAGGTGTTCGCCAGGTCGGAGAATCTCAAGATCCACAAGAGGACGCATACAGGTGAGTCTGTCGTATGACTAATACAATGAGTGCACTGGAAAAAAAAAAAAAAAAAAAAAAAAANAAAAAAAAAAAAAAAAAAAAAAAAAACACATTGGATCTAGAGTCCAGACTCTTGAAAACATTGACAAGGAAAAGGACTCTTGATTGAGTCAGATGTAAGCTTAATTCAAAAGGAAATCCGCTCAAATTAAGAGGCTTTGTTCTTGATCTAAGCTTAAATCTGATTGAATCGAGAGTATTTTTTCTTGTCGATGTTTTTATGAGTCTGTACTCTAGATCAAATGTGTTTTCTTTCCCAGTGTGCGTCGTTTCACTCGCGAAAGAGCGTAACTACATCTCAATGTTGCCAAATTTCCCCAAGTAAATTCCGTGTTTACCAGCACTGAAAAAAAAATGTGCTCGGCTTAAGCATGCTGATTATTGAATTTGCCGCCAAGAATTTCTTTTTATCTTGATTTACGACGAATTTTTCTTGATACAAGAAATAAATGCTTGGGTTACGCAATAATTTAGTTTATATTAAGCAGAAAAATTTTCGATTCAAGGAAAAATACTTCTTGGCGGCAAATTTAAGATTCTTTTTTTTTTCAGTGAGGAGAATCTTGGGAATTTTTGATTAAAAAATTCACTGATTTTTCCTCCGATTGTGTGCAAAAACCGAAATAACTTGGACCAAAATTGCACGGGTACATTCTAGGAAAAATTGAATAGTTTGCGTCAATATCGCAACCTTGGAATGGAGTTATTACGTTCCTTCGTCCAGAAAATGACGGATTGAGAGGCTTAGAGGACAAGTGGTATAAGTGAGGTTTTTGAAAATAAACTGGGATACTATTGATTTCAACTAATACTAGTCTTAAAATTTTATCCGTAAAAAGTGCATCTCTAAATTCAAATTTTAAGCATCAAGAGGTGAGTTGTAACTATCTTTCGGCCATATTATGTAATTTTGAAACTTTAATTACACCTGTTTATTTAAATAGCAAAAACTGCTCCCACACTTGTCCTCCAGGCCCTTCAATTGAACAGGAAGCTACCAAGACACGTCTTGTCAGGGGGTATAGTCGAGCTTAATAACCGCACTGTTTCCCTGTGAAAAGCTCAATGTTAATAGAAAATATTTTGGATGGAAATAACGTTGACTTTTATTTCTGGGAAGCACGGTCTAATCCTCTCATTCTTGGTTTTATTTTTATGCAGCTTTGTTCCTTTTTTTTTTTGAACTTACATGTAGTTTATTTTTTTATCGTTTATCACTTGCCGTATTTTAAGTGCGATTGGATACCGGAAATACTTATTGAGAACAAAATATTTTACCTCCGTGGATAAAACCACTTGCAATACATGAACAATGAGCGGGTAAAACAGAATCAATGATATAAGGACGAGTAGCAAATAAACCAAGAACTATACGCATGCCAACGGTCATATCTGTAATAGGTTACTCATTTTACACGAGGCATATATAATTATGTATCGACACTCTTAGCCACCGGCATACCTCACCATGCATTTATCTATATACATAGGCCCATATGTTTCACTACCGAGAAAATATATACCCTAAAATATTCCCACGTAGTACACTCTTCTTTCCAAAAAAAAGAACAAGAAAAAAAAAATGAAAATTATGTCTAAATGCAAATTACGAAGATTTCGACGGGCTCATGTAGTAACTATAACTTGGACTTGGGACTTGATTGACAGTTTTGGAACTCTCAGTTGAACCAATTTTCAGTGAGCAATCTAAGTTGCAAAAATTTAAGTATAAGAAAATGATTTGTCTATATTTTTAGTTATGTTTCTAGACACGTGCATAATGCAATTAAAGGTGTTGGGAAAATGGGCTCATATCAGTTAGGTACACGCTTATTAATACAGACAAATGTGGTAAATATTGTGAAAAATATTCAGATGCTTGATTATTTGTTTAATTTAATGCACTGTTATCGAATGGTGCAGGTGTCGCTTTTTCACAAATTGAAGCGTTTGTTAAAAAAAAATGAATGAACTTTCAATATGAATGAAATTTAATTAGAAAATGTTTTCATCCGTGGTTCAAAATGCAACCGTTACTTAAGAGATCCGCCATAGAATCATGTTTTTTTTAGATTTTTTTTCTTTTTTTACTTATAAACGTAGCACTCACGTGGGTATTTTAATTCAATGCTCTGGTTTTTCGAACGGGGTTTTTGCTGTGAAAAAGGGTCCAGGCGGTAATTTTTCCGCTCATAGTTGCTGCTGATCTTGAAATATTTACCAACTTTCTTTTATCACTTTAAATGATGTTTTTTTAAATAAGTCTCTTCAAACTAGGACAGAGCGACCATTCAATAATAATCGGAACTTTACAAAGTTGCTCCGAATTCATTAGCCTCCATTATCTATTACGTATAGTTTTATCTAGTTTGACTGTGTCACGTTTCCGATAACCTCACAGAAGAGGGCCAAGAGATTCATAAATCACATGAAAAGAATAAGCAGACGGACGAGTGAACTACTCGATATTATTAATGTACGGAATATTTGATTTTAGAGACACAGAAAAAAGGTAAAGCTCATCTGCCCATCTGATGATCCCATAAAAACGCGTGAAAAGGGGTGAAGATATTCCGAAATAAAAAAGCCGAAAAAGAATACCATCCGAAATTTGATAGAGCCGACTTCAGATTTCATTTCATATCTCAAAATCTTAGGCAAGGATATGGTACCTCCGCGAGTGCAGCAAAGCATATCTGTCCGTACGATCTTTCCTTAGTTTTTTATATTTTTGTTTCAACTAGGCTTTTAATCCTTGGCCAGTTTTAAGCCTTGAGCCGCGCCGCGTTCCTGTTCAGTCGAGAATTAACATAATTGAGAACGGGGTTTAATTTCGAGGTATACAGAGCTTATCGCGTACCGGCTCTCTACAATACGAATACTCATATGGGTCCGTAAATATCCGAGTAATAAAATTTTACGAGGAGCGTTATGATGTAGCCTAATATTCCTCCGAAAAGTGTATTATATGAGGTGGAATGCCGAGTGATGTCACCCTCACATTTCGAGCCGAAAAATTCAGGTAGAAAGGAGGCTGAGAGATGGATTTTTGAGCGAGGAGAAAGAGGGTTAATCTTAACGCCATCTCCGAATGTGTAGCGTAACAATAGGATCAGGCCTATTCGGCTGCGTATCTGTTGACTCCTGGTAATTGAAATTAAATATATTTATTGAAAAAACAGATTTACGGACGAGCTGAAAGGGACAGCTTTGGGTTCTTGGTACTGGCTTTTTCGGAATTCAAGAATATTTCCCTTCGTGACATTCGGATGCCGGGGTGGGCACAAATAGGAGGGCACAATAATCTCCTTCTAATACACAAGATTTTAACTCCATTTTCACTTTACGGTTAGGGTAGTTTTTTTCTCCTTCATTTTTGATTTTGTATTTGGTTTATTATTATTTTTCCCCTTCTTTTTTTATTAAAATGGAATTCCGCTACCATTTGGGCTATCAAAGTATTTTGTTATATGACTAGTTTTTAAACACATTAACTGTGTGAAATTTTAATGAGTGAACCCCAATTGCAACGACGGTTTGAAGCACTGATCGTGAGGAGCGATTGGAAAAATTTTAAGGAAAATAAAAAGTGGATCTCGTCTTTACTTTTATAGACAAAACGGAGCTAAATGACAAATAATATGACAAATTTCACACTAATTGAGAGAGACGGATTCATCAACGTTCAAAAATTTTCAATCCACTACTTGTCTCCTTTCCGATTGAAGCAGATTTTTTAACATAATATTTATATTACCAGAAAAAGGAAAAGTGATACCTCACACTTAGGCTTGACAAAATGTTTGAGAATTTTCTTAAATAGACTGCGATAGTTTTATCGTCAGCAGAAATGTCTCATAGCAATTTTTCTTTTATTCATCTCATAATGTTGCTTTGTTTAATTACGGAAAAAAAACGAAAAAAAAAAAAACAATAAATACTTAATTTTTCCCCTTAGGAACTTTTGATTTTTACAAAGAAATCTGGTATTTGCGGTTAGTGATGGGATATCACTAAGATCATATTATACGCACTATTAGTATTGGATATCCACCAACAATAAATAATATGACACTTTACTAGGTATTTGGCACTCGCGATTGATTATTTGGAGGTATTTATGCTAAAAGGACCTATGTGCATACGTTTAGCGTGCGACATAGTTCCTTTTAGCATAAATACGTCCAGTTAAAAAATAAAAATGCTCAAACCTAACTTACTGGGTACTTATCCTCTACATGTATGAAATGTAAATTTATGTAATTAATTCTTTGGAAAACAACAGTAAAGCGTCGTAGAAACGGTTAAAATATTATCCTGTAACTTGGTCATGGTGTAATTACAACTGCAACTTTTGTTACTAGTACGAGCTTTGGGTTTTTTGTGTCGAGATGAAAACAAACAATATTTTATAAAATTTAGGTCTTTTCACTCATGCAATATCTTTAACCTTACTCAATAAAGGGTATGAGTGTCATAAAAAATTCTTATAATGCGGGTATACAGTATTTAAGAAAAATTAAAAACTTCGCACGATATCAATTAATTACGCAAGTACCCGGAACATTTAGTCCTTTTAAATTAAACGATACTTCTCGCAGAGTTAAAACAATTAACAGATGATGACGGGTGAAGACTTATTTTGAACAAAAATGAACAACTCGTGAAGTTTAGGCTGAGCCTGGAGGCACTTTTCCGAAGGAAGATGAGTCAGTGCCTCAACTAATTGTGTGAAGGATCCCGAGTCAAAATCCAGGCACCACTTCTCAGCATCGTTATCAAATCGGCCGCAAATCTCCAAAATACCCTTACCTCCTCACGGTTTTTCTATTCAGGGCAGATTTTATAACTATTTTTATCGCGGAGACGTATAACGTGAAAAATATCATTTTGGCGATGCGAGGAGGTTCCGAATCTCACACTGAAGAATAAAATCTCGGTGTATTTACTAAGAAAAG